ACATCTCAAATCCCATGCTCCACTATTGACATGCAACCCTTCTGGATAGGGCAGCAGCCATAGGAGATGTTGAAGATTAAAGTAAAAGTACACAAGCCCCCCCCCCAAAAAAACAAAAAAAAAAAACAAACTGACAATAAGCAGTCTCAGATTAAAAAAACAAACAAAACAAAACAAAAAAAACAGTGTGTAGTGTGCAACAGGTCATTTATTGTAGAGAATCTGTGATTCACAAACTAACACCTAATTTCCTTCTGTCGGAGCAACAAGAACACCTTCAGGTTCAAGTTCACAAGCTTGCAGCATCCCATTCACAAGCCTTTAAAATGTCCCAAATTATAGGCAGTATAAGGGCAACGTGACATTCTAGGCAAATGGTAACACCACACAAGATATAATTTGAAGAAATCTTCAGCCCAAATGTGCTGTTCATCTTAATATTTCTGCAGTCAGTCTTCCTTGTGAAAGAGTTTGATAGGCTGCCGTTCTTGCACTGTACCGATTCCAGCAAAATAGTCTTAACTTATGCTGCATAGGGGTGCACCGATTGGAGTTTTCTGGCCGATCACCGATCTCGAAAAAGTCTGACCTGCCGATTCCGATTTTGTTTTATAAGCGACACTGTCAGGCGTTATAAGGTCACACTGCACCTTCAATTTTCCAATATTATTTTATTGAAAAACATACCCTTGAACAATATTCTAGAAACAATACAAACTTGTTTTAACTGGCCATGAGGTAAGAGCTCAAATATAAATGAAGTTCAGACAATTGTTGTTAAAACAAACAAAAAAAAAAAAAAAGGTAAAATCGGTTTCTCATGCAAGTATCGGCTGATTTCCCCAAATTAAGGAAATTGGGGCCAATAAATCGGTGCACCCCTAATGCTGCATCTTAAAAACAGAAGTTAAATAAATTTGCTCCTTTCTCTGTATTGACTACAAACTGGAACAAGTTCTAGGATGTTTCAATAATCGTCAGAAATAGCTGGACTAACGACGCACCATTTCTACTTTGTTTAGCATTTTATTTTCTATGTTGTAAATCAACACGATTTAAAATTTAGTCCCTTCTTGAGGATGGAAATTATTATGGTGAATAATCATTAATGAAAGCTTAAACAACTAATTATTGTTTAAATCTAACCTATATAAGTAAAACCCCTTAACATTATCCTGTGAAAATGTAAGAACCCAGATAAATAACCCTACACTGAAGGTTGAGGTTTTCTTAGCCATTTTGTAAAAAGAGGAATTACAGTGTGAGAGTGAGTGATGTATTAACTGGCTCCTTAGGCTATTATCTGCAATGCAGTGTTTTATTAAGCCAGAGACGCTGAAACACATGACTTGTGGCAAGAAAAATGTGTTTCTTGAGTGCTAGTTTGTGTTTAGTTTGGTAAGTGAGCTGCTATGAACTGTCAAACTAAAAACAAACAAATCTGCACAAACACTTTACGGCCAAGCATGAGAAGCCTTCTTCCCAGCTTGACGTAGTTTGTGCGTGGCCTCAAGTGTCATGGAGAGCTGAGGTCAATCCTCCACTGTTACTCTTCTGAACCACCAGGAGAGGTAGTCACAGAGCTGAAACACTTGGTATGTGCAAGGGTAAGTTGCAATTGCAAGTCCAAGGAAGCGGTGATGATAGAAGGTCTGTCTGACTGGCCAATTACAAGAACTGGTGGTTCAACTGGTGATTTATCAAATGTCAAAAGGCAATTTAAAGAGGGGCCATATCACACAGTTATGCGAGTAAAAGAGAAAAATGTAAAGTCAGGTTTCCTAGAACATACTCTAAAATGAACTATAAGGAAAATGCTCCAAAAAACGGACAAATTAAGAGTTTTAGTACTTCAGTCCTGTTGTATAATGCCTAAAGGATTTTACTGACGATTTAATAAAAACTCAAGAACTTATGTCAAATCAAAAACAAAATATTTGTTTAATTATTCTGCATCTATCATCAAATATATACAGTGCCTTGCGAAAGTACTCAGCCCCCTTGAACTTTTCAACCTTTTGCCACATTTCAGGCTTCAAACATAAAGATATAAAATTTTAATTTTTTGTGAAGAATCAACAACAAGTGTGACACAATCGTGAAGTGGAATGAAATTTATTGGATGTGTCAAACTTTTTTAACAAATAAAAAACTGAAAAGTGGGGCGTGCAATATTATTCGACCCCCTTGCGTTAATACTTTGTAGCGCCGCCTTTTGCTGCAGTTCCAGCTTCAAGTCTCTTGGGGTTTGTCTCTATCAGTTTTGCACATGGAGACACTGAACTTTTTGCCCATTCTTTCTTGCAAAACAGCTCGAGCTCAGTGAGGTTGGATGGAGAGCGTTTGTGAACAGCAGTCTTCAGCTCTTTCCACAGATTCTCGATTGGATTCAGGTCTGGACTTTGACTTGGCCATTCCAACACCTGGATACGTTTATTTGTGAACCATTCCATTGTAGATTTGGCTTTATGTTTTGGATCATTGTCTTGTTGGAAGATAAATCTCTGTCCCAGTCTCAGGTCTCTTGCAGACTCAAACAGGTTTTCTTCCAGAATGGTCCTGTATTTGGCCCCATCCATCTTCCCATCAATTCTGACCATCTTCCCTGTCCCTGCTGACAAAAAGCAGGCCCAAACCATGATGCTGCCACCACCATGTTTGACAGTGGGGATGGTGTGTTCAGGGTGCGTTGCTGTGTTGCTTTTACGCCAAACATATCGTTTTGCATTGTGGCCAAACAGTTCGATTTTGGTTTCATCTGACCAGAGCACCTTCTTCCACATGTTTGGTGTGTCTCCCAGGTGCTTGTGACAAACTTTAAACAACACTTTTTATGGATATCTTTGAGAAATGGCTTTCTTCTTGCCACTCTTCCATAAAGGCCAGATTTGTGCAGTGCATGACTGATTGTTTGTTGTCCTATGGACAGACTCTCCCACCTCAGCTGTAGATCTCAGCAGTTCATCCAGAGTGATCATGGGCCTCTTGGCTGCATCTCTGATCAGTCTTCTCCTTGTTCGAGATGAAAGTTTAGAGGGACGGCCGGGTCTTGGTAGATTTGCAGTTGTCTGATACTCCTTCCATTTCAATATGATTGCTTGCTCAGTGCTCCTTGGGATGTTTAAAGCTTGGGAAATCTTTTTGTATCCAAATCCGGCTTTAAACTTCTCCACTACAGTACCTCGGACCTGCCTGGTGTGTTCCTTGGTCTTCATGATGCTCTGTGCACTTTGAACAGAACCCTGAGACTATCACAGAGCAGGTGCATTTATACAGAGACTTGATTACACACAGGTGGATTCTATTTATCATCATCAGTCTTTTGGGACAACATTGGATCATTCATAGATCCTCACTGAACTTCTGGAGTGAGTTTGCTGCACTGAAAGTAAAGGGGCCCAATAATATTTCACGCCCCACTTTTCAGTTTTTTATTTGTTAAAAAATTTTGACACATCCAATAAATTTCATTCCACTTCACAATTGTGTCCCACTTGTTGATTCTTCACAAAAAATTAATTTTTTTTATCTTTATGTTTGAAG